ATCCTGGCTGAGCGACTCTCTATCCTCTTACCGCATATCTCATATGGTCAGAATGCTTTCATTCGTGAGCGGCAGATAATTGATAATATCCTCCTTGGACACGAGCTAAAGCATTATCTCAAAATAAAAACACGGGGGAAGAAAGGATACATGGCTCTAAAGGTTGACATGAAAAAGGCCTATGATAGAGTCGAATGGTCGTTCCTTCTTGCGGTGTTGGATAAGATGGTCTTTAGTTCTGTCTGGCAAGGGTGGATACATGAGTATCTCATATCATCTTCTTTCTCGGTTCTAATGAATGGTACCCCCTCAGGATATTTCACTCCTTCCCGAGGACTACGGCAGGGTGATCTGCTTTCCCCTCTCTTGTTTGTGCTTTGCACTGAGGGGTTCGCAGCACTCCTTCGTAAGGCTGTTTCGGAGAAGAGACTGGCTGGGGTTAAGGTGGCTCCGCGTGCCCCTCAGATCTCCCATTTTTTCTTTGCGGATGATTCGTATTTATTCCTGAGAGGTACACTTCAAGAGTGTGAGAACCTGATTGGAGTCTTGAACGAGTATGAGGAACTTAGCGGCCAACGTGTGAATCTGGAAAAGTCGGCGGTGTGCTTTAGCAAGAATATCGCCCTGCCTGACCAAGAATTTTTTGCCACTATTTTGGGGGTAGGGGCAGTAGGGGTCCAGGATAAATATCTGTGTTTGTCGACTCTGATTGCGGTCGAAAATTGCGACTTTCTGCTACTTGGAGGAAAAACTGTTAGAGCGACTCCAAGGGTGGAAGCAGAGGACGTTATCGTGGGCAGCCAAAGAAACTTTGATTAAGTCAATTGCGTTGGCATTGCCCTTGCATTGATGTCCTGCTTCAAATTTCCTATTTCCCTATGTCGGCTGCTGGACAAACATGTTGCCCGGTTCTGATGGGGTGCCGATAAGGTTCACTCAAAGGTGCGTTGGGTGCCCTGGCGCAACATGTGTAGAAGTAAGCATGATGGGGGAATGGTATTCCATCGGTTCGAGCATTTTAATTAGGCTATGTTAGCAAGGATTGGATGGCATATATTATCTGATCCCCAGTCCCTCTTGGCCCAGGTTTACAAAGGCAAATACTTCCCCAGAGGAACGTTTCTTCGGGCTTTGCCACGATCTCGGCCTTCCTGGGGTTGGCAAAGCATCCTGTATGGACGCCAGTTGCTGGAGGTAGGTCTTCGTTGGCAGATTGGAAATGGATGAACTGCCTCCCTCCTTCATTCTCACTGGATACCTCAGTTCCAGCTTGACTCCCCAAGTTATAATCCGCAGATTTTACCAGGTGAGGGTTACCCGAAGGTGGCTGAGGTCATTTGACAAGGGGAGGGACGGTGGTGTGACACCAAACTTAGCCAGTGGTTTGACCCGTCCACCTGTAAGGCCATTAAAGCAATTCCACTGCCAAGGCAGAATGTGGAGGATAAGCTGATATGGCATGACACGAAGGACGGGGTTTTCACTGTTAAGTTAGCCTACCATCTTGTAGTTTCCCTTGATAGGAGGAAGGGTGGTTGGAAATCTCTGGCAAGTTGGATGGATAAGGCTAGTTGGGTCAGGTTATGGAATGCAAATATCCCGCCTAAGTTAAAGGTCTTTGTCTGGCAGATCCTCAATCGGGCCCTCCATACCACTGAGGCGCTAATTTAGAGGAAGGTCCCCATCCATCCTCGTTGTCCGGTGTGTTGGGCTAGTTCAGAGACAATGGAGCATTTATTTCTCGATTTCCCGGTAGCGCGAGCACTTTGGGATTATTTGGGGTTGGATTACTTCGGAGAGGGGTTGCCTCGGCATACTTTCCTTATTTCCTGAAGAAGCTGCTGGCCTTGATTCATCAGCCCACACTATTCATGGCAGCTGCTGTAACACCCCACCCGAAAACTCATGGGTCGAACCACTGGTTCACCCGCACAACAGAAAATACTAACGGGGTTTACGTATTAACTCATCATTCAATAAATATACATTTTTCTTTTACTAAACATAACTCGAGATGAAAACACACACACACACACACACACACATATATATATATATATATATATATATATATATATCAAATCTAACACATTTATTAATATCCAATCTCGTTTATTAAACATACAACATCCAATTCATGACATCAAATCCAAACACTAGTTCGTTGAAAAACAAATCTCCATCTTACATACTTTGGTACAATCCATAAATCATCATAACTCAGTCGATCAAATCCAATGCAATCAAACTCAACATAATACATGTTTATGATACTTGTTTTAGAACACAAAGCATAGGTAAAAACTCTCCTCCGACCAATCGTCTGCTACCTCATTATGGAGTAGAAGTTGCATAGCTTCGACGTCCAAGCTCAGTTCCTCTGTTGCGGATCTGAACACAAAAGGGGAGGGGGTCAGCTAACTAATTTAGCTGAGGTGTGGCGATGTTCCCTCCTACACGGCGAAGTCTATGGATACGTTTTCCACATTAATTGATTAACCACCTAATCATGGCATCTAGGTTGAAGTCTCAACCTAATATAATTCTCAACCTAGAATCCAATATCCAGACAATATGCAAGTGCAATGCATTTCCATTTTATTAATTTGGGCGCCGAGGTCACCATACATCCACCCCCGCTCGAGCCTCATCATCTTAGTGGTTATATCAGAAACCACAATCATATCTCTCTGGCCACTGGCCTCATCGATCCTAATGATCGTCATTAACAATATCAATTGGTTGGGGGTAAATGCAAGCCCTTTCTAAGTCTATGTGATTAATATGAACATCATATAAAATCATCATTCTCGTCATAATCTCAATATAATAATCATCCATCTCAATCGATCTTGGTGTAATTACCAAGTCTATGCCTTAGGGTAAATTGTACATATCATGCATACTAAATTCATCAAATTATCCATTCAATCATCGAGTAGAAATTCATTCGCAAACAATATCGTTATCGTACATTCAACGTATAAGCTGGCCGGTTTGAATCCTCGTACATGGTTTGTTAACCATTAATCGGTGAAAATCACCAAGTAATTTGAAAGGCGGACCCGCCGTGGTAAAACTCCGAGAAGAGGAATGAGTGCCACTACTCGTAGTACACTTCTTACAACCATATTCCCAAAAGATTTCACCAAGTGAATTCCCAGGTAAGTGGACGAGTACCACGAAGGTCTCGATTAAAAACCACTAGCCTAGACAGAATTCTCCCATGGTAGCTGTCCATTATTCAAATTTTCACGAATCCGATTGTGGTTTAACAATTATCCCAAGTAATCGTATTAGGATATTATTCAATCGCAGGCGTAATTTCACATAACTCATGGCTTGATATCACGTCATGAATTATTGAAATGATAACAACGAAGTCTCAAGGAATTTTACGATTCGTAGGGATCAATTACAAAGTCGTAAATTCCAAATACTCGATTATGAATCATCCAATTATACCCGAGTATCAAAATGATAATAACAACATTCTTCATTTTATATTCATTAAATCCTCAGCGATGTTTCAATAGTAAACATATAGCACTTAGTAAAACACCGCCTATTCACCGCAGGGTCCACACACCTTATTTATGACGTAAATCAACTTTGCACAGCTGTTGTAAAAATTCCAATACTCCTTGATAATATTCTCCTCGTCTCTACGATCCTGTAGGCGAAAACAGTTCGTCGTTTGGACGTCGAACGAACGAATTACAACCAAAATACGAATTCTGTCAGTTCTCGAAATTCCAAGTACTGTAAATAAAATTTTTCAGTCAAACAGATCGTTGACCCTTCGCATGGAAAAAGTCCTTCCAGGTCCTCAAACTTTTCGATTTGATAGAAACAGTACCTGATTTTCAGAAACTGACAATTCTACGTGGCCAGCTTGCGAGGCTCGTTTCTCCCTCGTCCGACGTCGAAAATTGATTCCGTCGAAACGTGCGTGCTCCTGGGATTGCCCTCTTCGTAACGGTACCAACCACTCACAGAATGGTTGAGGTCGGAGTTGACGTCGTCGCCGTCACTGGAAACTCCGAAACTCCGGCGAGGCTCCGACAAGGCTTCAACGATGCTTCTAGCTTCGTGGGAGACCTCCCCAGACCTCTATGGCGACCCTCTCAATCCAGAACACTCCACTGATCCTCACTTTGCTAGGTATCTTCTTTCCTTTGGATGATACGTAAGGTAACCCAAGTGACCTTCCATGCTTTCTATATATATATATATATTTCCAAGTCTCACAACTGGCGAGTCTCTCTCCCTTCAGTAACTCTCCATGTTATTGGTAGCTCGATCTGCAGTCTTTGTCTCCAAATAATTGAACGTTTTTATTAGTTATTTCCCACCGGTATTGCCCGACCATTCCTTCCTTTAATAGGGTGTGAGCGGTGGAGAGTGAGACCATGCCCATCATATAATTCCAACCCCTAAAATATACATATAGGTGGGTAGGAGACGTGTTCCTCTTTTCTTCCTCTCATCTATGTACATAAAATATAAGGAAATGTAGTTTGATATTAGGTGGGTGGGTGCATGCATGACAAGCTTTCTTAGTACGTAATCTAGTACGTTTTCTCATCGTATCTCGTAGCCCTTTTGGTTTTGGCGTTGAGTCTTCGATTATGCTTGGGAAAACATTATTCCATCTATCGAACCAAATTGATTTGAATTAATATCCCAGGTTTGGGATGTTACAACTCTCCCCCCCTTAATTGGATTTCGTCCCCGAAATCAAATAGTATAATAAAAGTCTCTTCTGACTTGTTATTCATAAATTCGATACATTATTGACATTGTCGATTTAATACAACGAGTATTAGTTGGGAGGCATATTCGTAAAGTATACTTCGACTAATGATAACGATGTAATTGCATGTATTTGCACACCTAATTCTTATCCGTTTGAGAGGCATAGTCGTGTACTTTTGGCCTATTTTACGTCGGGTTGTGCTATTTTCTCATATTTCAGGTCCCAGGCGTCAAAGGGAAGACTAAGCACGAGTTTCGGGGCATTCGGAGGTCATTTCGTCAAGTTGGAGCCAAAACACGGGCAGACCTAAAGCATTACACGGCCGTGTTCTGGTGGCCGTGCTTTTGATGCCGAGAGCTAATTGATTTGGCAAATTCAGTTGCAAACACAGGCTGAAAGCACGACCGTGTTCAGGCAAAGCACGGCCGTACCCACCGCGAAACACGGCCGTGTTTCTCCCAACTGCTGGCCGTGTAATTAACCCTGGCCGAGGCACGGCGGGCTGAGGCAAAGCACGGCCGTGTCCTCGACCGTGCTTTGGCCACTGATGCTTTTTTAAGCAGATTTTCAGCCAAAGAGAAGGGGATTCGAGTTTTGGAGAGAGAGAACGATTCCTAGAGAGAGAAAGCGACGAACAAGAGTCTCCAAGTGCCCTAGATTGATCTTCAACACCATTGGAGGCCAGTTTGAGCTTGGAGAAGTGCCGATCAACGTCCAGGAGCAGGAATCCATCCTTCACAGTATGAATTCCGCGTCTGATTCTGCTTTTGCTTCTTTCTCCATGGAGTAGTTCTCCCATTCATCTGGGTATGGAGAACCCTAGATTTGTAAGTTAGGCTTTGATTGTATGAACCCAAGTACTGATTCTATGATTTGATTATATTCGATTGAGGTTTGAATGATTGAATGACTTGAATCCTGATCAAATTCCTGTTGTTTCTAATTTGACCTAGAATGAGAATATCTGCCTAGGTTGATAGAGCATCCTTGATTGAAGGTAGGGAGTTCGTGACTTTAGTCGAGGAGCCAACTCACTATTCTGTACCGGATTTACTCCGGTAGTGGAGGTTTTGTTTGTTAAGGCCTCAATCTGTTTACTCCGGTGGAGGTTAGTCGCCCGGTAGAGACTCAGATTGAGAGGGTCTGAAGACCTTTAGTCGAGACTTCAGGCTGTTTAAGAACCTTCTGCAGTATAACTATCATAGAAACTGAACTTGGTAATTACAATCCGGCTTAACTGCAGTCTAGGGGGAACCATATCTGGGTGACCTCTCTTAACTTGAATACAACCGTTTGTTTGCTTTGTTTATTTGGTAGTTTAGACTTGCATTCCAGTTTCATTGCTAGATAACAAGAATTCACTGAGTAGTCATCAAATCTAGGACCCGGGTTGATAATTAAACCTAAACCCGCTATACTACGCTTTAGGAAGTGGTTTCACTTGGCCATGTTTTTGGCGCCGTTTCCGGGGACGGCTAGGTTGTTGAAGAAAGTGATTTATGTTAATTTAGCTTTTCTTTTTGCTTTGTTTGCTTTGTCCCACTTGTGCCTTCACGGGTTTGCTTGCTTGAGTGTGTGCAGGTAGTGCATGACCCGTAGCCAGTCGGGAGGTTTACTACCGTTGAATCCAGAGATTGAACGCACCTGTCGCCAACTCAAGAGACAACAGCGAGCTAGACTGGCTACGGAAGAGCGCATAGACGGCCACCTGAGCAGCGATTCTGAAGAAGAGTACGGGATGGACGGAGAGTACAATCAACACCAGGGGAATCCTCAGCAGGCTCCCCCGGTGAATCAAGTCCCGGGGAACAACCCCATACCCCAGGATCATGGAGTTCATCATCCACCGGAGCCGGGTCCCACCTTGGAGTACTACTACACTCCTTGAATTGCTGACATCCGCCCGGTCATCCTCTACCCGCCTATTCCAGCAAACAACTTTGAGATCAAGCCATGCTGGATTCAGCTCATCACATCCTCTATCCAGTTTCATGGCTTGAAGGATGAGGAGGCCAGGGTACATCTGTCCCGTTTTCTGCAGCTGACGAACGGGTTCAAGCTGTATGGTGTCCCGGATGATGCAATCCGCCTTCATCTCTTCCCCCATTCTCTGGCGGGGAATGCTAAAAGGTGGTTGGAAACCCAGCCCCCATTGTCCATCACCTCTTGGGACGATCTGGCGGACAAGTTCGTGCACAGGTACTATCCGGCATCGAAGACCACAGAGATTCAGCGGGAGATCACTCACTTCCGCCAAGAGCCAGATGAGTCACTTCGTGATGCTTGGGAGCGGTACATGGGATACTTCTGGCAGTGTCCCCATCATGGCTTCAGCGATGCATTCATAGTGGGGAACTTCTACAGTGCTCTCTCTCCAGATAGCCAGAGGGTGATTGAGTCTCTATGCCCAGGAGGGGATGTTCTCACTAAGACTCCACACGAGCTGAACCAGATGATTAATACTTTGGCTGCCAGAGATCATTCCTGGGGGCAGAGCAGCCGAGGCAGACACTCCCGGGACCGTGGTGTGCACGCCATGGAGACCAGATCCGGGCTTGAGCAGCAGGTAGCTGAGCTAGTGCAGACATTGAAGCAGCCCAACAGTCTTATTCCGGGCAGAGGTTTGGCTACACCTCCAGTTGCTCAATGTCAGTGGTGTGAGAGCTCGAATCACTTAGTAGAAGACTGCCAGGCTATGAGGGAGTCTACTACTCCCCAAGAGCAGTTGGACTTCATCGCCAATGCTCGGCGCCTCGACCCGTACAGTAACACATATAATGAGGGGTGGTGCCAGCATCCCAACTTCTCTTGGGGCAGCAACACCACTAAGCCACCTGGTTTCCCAGCACCAGCTGGTGGCTTTCAGCAGAGGCAGCCTTATCAGGCTCGACAGGGCCCAGTTCCACAGCAGCAGCCCTACCAGCCTAGGCAGGGGCAACCACATCAGCAGCCCTACCAGCCTAGGCAGGGGCAACCATTCCAGCAGCCCCAACGCCAGTTTGCCGAGCCAGTAGCAGCCCCCGTTCCAGATACTCAAATGACGAAGTTGGAAAATATTCTAGCTTCGTTCATGACTAGCACTCAGGCAGCTATCACGTCACTGGAGGCAGGTCAGAGGAACCAGGGTGCCATCTTGCAAGATCTGCAGAACCAGGTGGGTATCTTGGCCCGCCAGAACACCACCAGGGCACCGGGGACTTTGCCTGCCACCACTGATCCGAATCCCCGTGATCCTAACCAGCTCCAGCAGCTTGATGCCATCACTACCAGGAGTGGCAAGACCACATCAGCTGCTCCTGCCCTGCCCAGTCGAGATGAGCCACTGCCTGCTTCAACACTTCCAGCTGATACTGCAGAAGTGGGGGAAGACACAACCACGCCTGCTCCCAAGCCACAACCAGTGGTTAAGGAGCATGTACCTCAGCTTCCTTTCCCCACTCGCCTGCATAAAGACAAGCTGGAGACTGAGTTTGCCAAGTTCATGGCAATGTTGAAGCAGGTCAACATCAGCATGCCGTTCGTGGAGGCACTGTCGAAGATGCCCAAGTATGCCAATTCATGAAGGACCTCCTCACCAACAAGAAGAAACTTGGGGATCTTTCGACAGTGATGCTGAGCGAGGAGTGTTCTGCCATCCTGCAGAACAAGCTGCCCGAGAAGCGAAAAGACCCAGGGAGTTTCACTATCCCTCTTGTTATTGGCAGCATGCATGTAGGAAAGTCCTTGGCGGACCTAGGCGCGAGCATAAATGTCATGCCTTATAATTTGTTTAAGAAGCTAGGCCTAGGTGAACCTAGAACTACTAGGATGAGCATTCAGTTAGCTGATCGTTCTATCGTGCATCCTAGGGGTATCATTGAGGACTTGCTTGTTAATGTGGGTGCATTCACATATCCTGTTGACTTTGTTATTTTGGATATAAATGAGGATGTGGATGTACCTTTGATTTTAGGTAGACCGTTTCTCGCCACCGCCAAGGCGCTGATTGATGTGCATAGTGGTAAATTGATTCTGCGTGCTGGTGATGAACAGGCTACTTTTTCTGTGTTTGAGAATGGGAAACACCCTCATTTGCATGATGACATAGATTACTGTGATATGCTTGCTGATTTTGAGACCGCACTCGCTATAACGAGTGCGGGTACTGACGATGTTCTTGAGCGTTGTCTTTTGCTAGGTGAGCAGGCATCGCAGGAGCCGCAGCTGGCGGAGCAGTTAGCCGAGTTGGAGAGTAGCCCCTTCTTGGAGGGCGACAGGCTGTTCAAACCGATCTCATCCTCCACCCGCATCGCCACTTCCTTGGAGGAACCACCAGAGCTGGAGCTTAAGCCCCTCCCTCCTCATTTGGAGTATGCATTTCTCCGGGAGGGGAATAAGCTACCAGTCATCATCAGCTCGACCCTCACACCCGAGCAGAAGACCAGACTGGTGACTTTGCTGAAGCGGTACGAGCGAGCTCTCGCATGGAAGATCACAGACATCCGGGGGATCAGCCCCTCTTTCTGCTCCCACCGGATACTGATGGAGGATGAAATGCGGCCAGTGAGACAGCCGCAGAGGAGACTGACACCGAACCTGGAGGCTGTGGTTTGGGCAGAGATCGTGAAACTGCTGGATGCGGGGATCATCTTCGCCATTTCCGACAGCGAGTGGGTCAGTCCCACCCAGGTGGTACCCAAGAAGGGTGGGATGACTGTGGTGCCTAACGAGAAGAATGAGCTGATCCCGATGCGCACGGTGACTGGGTACCATGTCTTCATTGACTACCGGCGTCTCAACGACGCTACTCGGAAGGACCACTTCCCGCTACCATTCATTGATCATATGCTGGAGAGACTGGCGGGGCACGAGTTCTACTGTTTCCTGGATGGGATTTCCGGGTACTTCCAGATCCCGATTGCACCGGAGGACCAGGCGAAGACCACTTTCACCTGCCCCTTCGGCACCTTTGCATACCGGAGGATCCCATTCGGGCTATGTAATGCCCCGGCTACTTTTCAGCGTTGCATGCTCGCTATCTTTGAACGTCCGGTCGGCGAGATCATGGAGGTGTTTATGGACGATTTCTCGGTTTATGGAGACTCATTCTCTCACTGTCTCCATAACCTGGAGCTTGTCCTTAAACGGTGTGAAGAAACGAACCTGGCACTGGGTTGGGAGAAGTGTCACTTCATGGTTCGAGAGGGCATAGTTCTCGGCCATAAGATCTCCAAGATGGGGATTGAGGTGGACAGAGCGAAGATCGAGACTATCAGCAAGCTGCCTCCTCCTACATCTGTCAAGGGGATCCGGAGTTTTCTTGGTCATACAGGGTTCTACAGGCGGTTCATCAAGGATTTCTCAAAGATTGCTCTGCCCCTGACTAAGCTTCTAGAGAAGGATGCCCCCTTCTAGTTCACTGATGCATGCACAACGGCCTTCACGACCTTGAAGGAGAAGCTCACACAAGCTCCTATCATGGTTGTTCCTGACTGGTACTTACCATTTGAGATTATGTGCGATGCCAGTGACTTTGCTGTTGGAGCTGTGTTGGGGCAGAGGCGTGATCAGCATTTTCGACCTATCTACTACGCCTCGAAGACCTTGAATGATGCCCAGGAGAACTACACCACCACGGAGAAAGAGCTGCTCGCGGTGGTGTTTGTCGTCGATAAATTTCGTCCTTATCTGGTCTTGTCCCATGTGATTGTGTATACTGATCACTCCGCGATTCGATACTTGATGAGCAAGGCTGATTCCAAGCCTAGGCTCATACGATGGATCCTACTGCTGCATGAGTTTGACATTGAGATTCGGGACAAGAAGGGAGCAGAGAATGTTGCTGCTGATCACCTCTCCCGGTTGGACGCACCCCCTGCGGACAACCTCGAGGAGGAGATCAATGACTCCTTTCCAGATGAGAGACTGCTGATGATGTGCCTGGTGGAGAGTGTCACCCCCTGGTATTCTGATTTTGCTAATTATCTTGTGGGCCAGCAGCTTCCCAAGGGGATGACAACTCACGCCAAGAGGAAGTTCTTCTCCGACCTGAAGTACTACTTCTGGGATGACCCCCATCTCTTCAGGATCGGAGCCGACGGGATCATCCGTCGATGTGTTATGGAGAGTGAGATGGAGGGCATTCTATCTCACTGTCATGAAGGACCTGCTGGCGGTCACCACGGAGGAAACCGCACGGCGAGGAAGGTGCTCCAGTCGGGCTTCTACTGGCCCACGCTCTTCAAGGACGCAGACGCCTTCGCACGCATGTGCGACCGATGCCAGAGGTCAGGTAACATCTCTGCCCGTGATGAGATGCCCCAGAATGTGTTTATTACTTGTGAGATTTTTGATGTCTGGGGTATCGACTTCATGGGCCCCTTCCCTCCATCCTTTGGCAATACATATATCCTTGTTGCTGTTGACTACGTCTCTAGGTGGGCTGAGGCGCAAGCTTTGCCCACTAATGATGCTAGACGTGTTTGTGGTTTTCTGAAGCAGCTATTCTCCCGGTTCGGGACACCTAGAGCCCTCATAAGCGACCGAGGCACCCATTTCCAGGGTCAGTTCGATAAATTGTTGTCTCGCTATGGTGTAACTCATAAGGTGTTCGTGGCCTATCATCCTCAAACCAGTGGCCAGGCCGAGCTGACGAACCGGGAGCTCAAGCGGATCTTGGAGAAGACGGTGAACCTATCCCGCAAGGATTGGTCCACCAAGCTCGATGATGCTCTGTGGGCATATCGCACTGTCTACAAGACGCCCATTGGTACCTCACCGTACCGGCTTGTCTATGGAAAGGCATGCCATTTTCCCGTGGAGCTAGAGCACAAGGCCTTCTAGGCCCTTAAGCTACTAAACTTGGATGTTAGTGTTGCAGGTGATGAGCGAAAAATGCAGATGTTGGAGCTGGAAGAGTGGCGTTATCACGCCTATGAGAACACCAAGCTGTACAAGGAGCGCACGAAGCGCCTACACGATGCACGGTTGCGGGGTCCGAAAGAGTTCCAGGTTGGTGATCGAGTTCTCCTCTATAACTCTCGCCTGAAACTCTTTCCCAGAAAACTCCGTTCCCGGTGGTCTGGACCGTACACGGTCACACAGGTGTTCCCGTATGGCACGATTGAGATTGCTAACCCGCAAACTGAGCCGTTCAAAGTGAATGGCCATCGTCTCAAGCTCTACCTGGGAGACGAGGTCGAACGTGCGGAGTTAGCAGTGGAGCTCGTGGACCCTTAGTTCCGCAATTGGCGTCCAGCTAAAAGACGGTAAAGAAGCGCTTGTGGGGAGGCAACCCCACCACGGTTTGCATTTCTACCTTTGTTTTATTTATTTATTTATTTATTTCATCTTTGTCGCTTTATGAGTCTTTGAGTCAGTCTGGAAACTTTTTCGTGCCTCGGGCGGTTCGTTTTGATGTGTGATTGGGTAAATTTTAGAGCCGGGGCACGAATGAATCTTGGTGGTTTGCGATTGAAAATTGGAAAAAATGCATTTCAGGCTCGGCAGTTAAAACACGGCAGCAGGGGGCCAAAACACGGCCGTGTTTCGCCCTGTGCCCGCCCGTGTTTCGCTTTGTGCTCTCGGCATAAAAGACACAAGTAGCAGGCTCTGAAAACATGGCCGTGTTTTGATCAGAGCCCGCCCGTGCTTTAATGGAGGAAAACACGGGCGCAGAGCATTCGAAACACGGCCGTGTAATGGCCCGCCCGTGTTTCGGCCTCCCCCCTATAAAAGCGATTTTTTTTTTCAGCCCAAAATCATATCAGTCCATTTTTTTTAAACCTCTCCAGCCCCCCTCACCGGAAAATCGCCCCCTTCACCTTCTCCCTCGATTTTCCGGCCATAACTCCCTCTCTCGACCTCCAAATCACAAACCGCGACCGCCCCCACGCTCCTGGCGTCGAGGAGCACATTCCCCAAAGATTTGGGCTGGTTTGGCTGAGGTTGGGTTGCCGGCGGTGAGTTTTCCGGCGAGTCTCTGGTGTGTTTTCCGGCGACTTTGGGTGCTTCTTTCCACTTTCTTCACCTCTCTCGTGGTCTCTTCTTGCGTCTCCAGGTGTGTTCTCCTTGTCTTTTACTATATTTATGGAGAATCGATACCTAGAGTTAGGTGAAGAACTTCTGATTGTGGAATGCATGTTTGGGAATATTTTGGGTTTGGGGGTGTGATTGGGCTGATTGCATGTTGCCTGGTCTGCGTGCCATGTGAATTTTCTGTGCTGCCTCGCTTGGTGCTATTTAGGACAGTTGTGGTACGCTTGTTTTACCGGGGGCCTAGTCCACTGTCCGAATCGCTCGATTTGAGGGTCCCCGGTATATTTTGCTGTGTATTTCTCGTATGATGGGTATGTGTGTGTCGCCGGGAGTCTAGTCCACTGTCCATATCTTTCGATATGAGGGCTCCCGGTGTGGGTTTGGCCTAACATTGACCCCGTTTGCTTGTGCACACTTTTTCCTTCATTGTGTTTTGCAGGATCATGGAGACTTACTCGACCAGCTGAACATCGTCCAGCGCCACAAGCTGCGGAACCTCCGTACCCGCAGCATTGCCGAGCACCATCACCTCGATTGGGAGGTGTTCGGAGAGCTTCATGCCTGGCCACAGATGGTGTCCGCTCCCCTGCTTGGAGGCGTCTTCTCACCCTTGCCGAGCCGACCTACAAGGAGCTAGTCTTGGAGTTCTACGCCACCTTCAACCATAACTCGAGGGGGAACTCCGACCATTCTAATGAAGTCCAGTTCACACTCGGCGGGGTGGAGCACTCCCTCAGCTATTGGGAGTTCGCCAATGCCCTTCGTCTAAATTCCCGGACAGCAGGCGGACCTCCTCTCCGCTTGGATCTCTCTGATCCCACGGACTTCGCTTCCCAGGCGTACTTCCAGACCATTTGCCTGCCGGACAGTGTGGATGAAGAGTACGTGGCCAGCCAGACGCGGGCTGCTCTCCTCCGTCCGGAGTGGCGGATCCTCAACCACCTCATGTGCACTTCTTACACACCCAGCGCCGGCTCGTCCAACCGGGTCACACTCCGGACTCTCTGGTTGATGCATGCGATGGGTCGCTCCGAGGACACCATCTAGCTGGGATCTGTGCTTGCCCGGACGCTCACTAAGCCAGCCATCAGCACGTCTCGCGCCCTCGTTTGTGGCCCGGTGATCACCGCCTTGGCCCGCAACTACGGGGTGGACTTCACAGAGATGACACTGGTCCGCGGGCCGAGCCCACTCAGCGAGGCTAATCTTCGCCACCAGCACTTGATTGCGCACCACGGGCGTGTGCGCTGGATCGAGGGCCTTCCTCAGCCACCTATACCTGCAGAGGGCGCCCAGGCCGAGTCGAGCGCCGCTGGTGGACGCCGAGTTCGTCGCGTTCCTCGTCGTACCCAGGCTCCCGTGAGCCCCTCTCCTGCTCCCCGGTCTCCATCTTCAGGACCACCTCCTCCGGTGGTGGTCCCCATCTCCGACCAGTTGGCGGCGATCTCGCAGCAGAATGAGCGCATCCTGGCCGGCCAGGAGAGCATCCACGCCCGCCTTGATCGTGAGCGGGACCGAGGGCGTCGTCTCATGTTGGGGCAGCACTACATCATGTCCTACTTGGGCTTGGACCCGAACGCGGTCCACTACACGTTCGTGCAGTCCCCAGGGTTCGAGGATGAGTACCCTCCACCCACCGGCGATGGTGGTGATGCCTTCTAGAGCGGGTTTTGTGTTTTATCTGTTTTCCAGACTGCGACTCTGTGTTTTGTGATTTCGTTTTGTTTTGTTTCTATCTTGGATTGTAGACTTGGTACTCTGACTCCTATCACCCAGTGTGTGTTTTGTTGTCTCTAGCTCTGTGCCCCTTCTTTTAACTAGTCCGCCATCCAGTCAACGTTCCTGACCACTGCTTCACGGTAACATCGTTCCCCTTCCCTCTGCTCCATTGAGGACATTGTCGCGTTTAAGTGTGGAGGGGTTCTTTGTATGAAATGGAACGTATATATGTGTGCTTGGAGCCTAGTCCACTGTCCAAATCTTGAGATTTGAGGGCTCCAAGCACAGCTGTTTAATTGATGATTGATCATATTGGCACTGTGGATGTGATTAGTGAATTGAAGGGCTTTTGACTTGATACATGACAACTTGAGTGTGACTTAGACAACTTATTGTGATGACTGAGATGTGCAGTAGAATTGTGTAGGGGTTCAGTTTCTCAACTGTCTGCCCACCAAATGTGACTTGGTTTGATCACTTGCTTTTGACAGTCAGTTATGCATCTAGTTCAGGGAATCAGAACGAGAGATAGAGCATATAGGTAGCCATGTGAGATTTGAGCCTGCTCGTTTCTTTCTTGTGCGATAGTTTCCTCTTCCATGATGTGCAGCATTCACGTTGTCATTAGCTAAGATGATGGAGGCATAGGATTAGCCCACGACCAAATTGACTGTCCTAGTGTGTCATACCCCTAGTCAGCCCCTTTGAGCCGTGTGTTTTCCTTTCTTTCGGTCTTCAATGAAAATTCACCCTTTTGCATCTTTTAGAAGGTTCCACAGAGTGATTTTTACATGTTCTCTGCTGTTTCTGCTAAATGTAAGGTGAGGGTTGGAGGTAGTGCTTAAAAGTTGGGCAGGTGTTTGAAAATGTGCAGAGGTGGTGGTTCTCTTAAGAAATGAAAAGTAATGAAAGAAAATCAAAGAAAAAAAAATGAAAAAATGAAAGCAAAAGAGAGCCACCACCAAAAATCTGAATAATGCCCATGTAGTAGTGTTTCTTAGCAGTCTGGCTTAGAAATACTAGCATTTATGTAACCACCTTCGCTCTTGTGCTTTGAACTTGAGTAATGCAGAATAGCAGAAAGAAAGTTATTGGTTCGATTGATTGTGAATCTGTTGGGTTTGGAAATGAGGAACCTTGTGCTGTATGAATACTTCCACCACCTAAAAGGCCTTTTCCCCATGTCCAAGACCCTAGCCAGTCATCTGAACCTGTGTCTAAGACCTCCGGATTAGTTAGTGATGACACCCCATATGTGAACTCTAGCACTTAGAGGCTGCATTCATGGTGAAGAGATGTTAGGGATTGAGAGATTAAGCATGCGCATTTTTCGCATCATATTGTCCTGACCCCACTGGTCGAGAGTGAGCGATCCATTTTCTCTTATTCTCTATACTCTTTATCCCGGTGAGGACCTAGATTGCTCGGTCTTAATTCTGATATCTTGAACTTTGTGCATGATGTGACTGTTTTGAACAAGTGGTTGAGTCAAGTCTATGTTGGTTGGTGAACAGAAGGGAGACTCTTCCTTTGCTCAATTTTACTGCACTCGAATGTCATCTGTGGTGGTTGTCTAGGTTGTCATTGAAGTTTTCCATGTGTTACTGATCGAAAGCCAGTATGATCCACGTGTTTTGTGTCGATATATCATGCCTTGTTGTTTGAGCTTACCTTGTGCCTGACTTGGTTTGCTTGAGGACAATCAAACGGTTAAGTGTGGGGGAATTTGATAACGATGTGATTGCATGTATTTGCACCCCTAATTCTTATCCGTTTGAGAGGCATAGTCGTGTACTTTTGGCCTATTTTACGCCGGGTTGTGCTATTTTGTCATATTTCAGGTCCCAGACGTCAAAGGGAAGGCTAAGCACGAGTTTCGGGGCATTCGGAGGTCATTTCGTCAAGTTGGAGCCAAAACACGGGCAGACCTAAAGCATTACACGGCCGTGTTCTGGTGGCCGTGCTTTTGATGCCGAGAGCTAATTGATTTGGCAAATTCAGTTGCAAACACGGGCTGAAAGCACGACCGTGTTCAGGCAAAGCACGGCCGTACCCACCGCGAAACACGGCCGTGTTTCTCCCAACTGCTGGTCGTGTAATTAACCCTGGCCGAGGCACGGGCGGGCTGAGGCAAAGCACGGCCGTGTCCTCGACCGTGCTTTGGCCACAGATGCCTTTTTAAGCAGATTTTCAGCCAAAGAGAAGGGGATTCGAGTTTTTGAGAGAGAGAACGATTCCTAGAGAGAGAAAGCGACAAACAAGAGTCTCCAAGTGCCCTAGATTGATCTTCAACACCATTGGAGGCCAGTTTGAGCTTGGAGAAGTGCCGATCAACGTCCAGGAGCAGGAATCCATCCTTCACAGTATGAATTCCGCGTCTGATTCTGCTTTTGCTTCTTTCTCCATGGAGTAGTTCTCCCATTCATTTGGGTATGGAGAACCCTAGATTTGTATGTTAGGCTTTGATTGTATGAACCCAAGTACTGATTCTATGATTTGATTATATTCGATTGAGGTTTGAATGATTGAATGACTTGAATCCTGATCAAATTCCTGTTGTTTCTGCTTTGACCTAGAATGAGAATATCTGCCTAGGTTGATAGAGAATCCTTGATTGAAGGTAGGGAGTTGGTGACTTTAGTTGAGGAGCCACTCACTATTCTGTACCGGATTTACTCCGGTAGTGGAGGTTTTGTTTGTTAAGGCCTCAATCTGTTTACTCCGGTGGAGGTTAGTCGCCCGCTAGAGACTCAGATTGAGAGGATCTGAAGACCTTTAGTCGAGACTTCAGGCTGTTTAAGAACCTTCCGCAGTATAACTATCATAGAAACTGAACTTGGTAATTACAATCCGGCTTAACTGCAGTCTAGGGGGAACCATATCTGGGTGACCTCTCTTAACTTGAATACAACCGTTTGTTTGCTTTGTTTGTTTGGTAGTTTAGACTTGCATTCCAGTTTCATTGCTAGATAACAAGAATTCACTGAGTAGTCATCAAATCTAGGACCCGGGTTGATAATTAAACCTAAACCCGCTATACTACGCTCTAGGAAGTGGTTTCACTTGGCCAATTCCTAGGGTGACAGTAGAAGTGAGTCAACTAACTCGGGGTATTTCTTCATCATACTTTCTTCAGTCTCCCAAGTTGCCGCTTCTCCTTCGTGATTTCTCCAAATGACCTTAAGCATCGGGATGCGTTTGTTCCTCAGCACTCGTATCTGTTGGTCCACGATACTCACTGGCCTCTCTTCGTAAGTCAAATCAGGTTCCAGGATCACATCTTCTTGTTGTATGACATGAGAGGGGTCCACATGATACTTCTTCAACATACTCACGTGAAAAACATTGTGAATCTTCTCCAACTCAGTAGGTAACTCAAGTTTGTAAGCTACCGGCCCAATTTTGGCAATAATGTCATAGGGGCCGATGTAACGAGGTGCCAACTTCCCCTTATTTCCAAACCTCATTAATCCCTTCCATGGTGATACCTTTAGAAATACCTTCTCTCCCACATCATAACTTACTTCACGAGCTCTCCCGTCAGCATAAAGTTTCTGGCGATCTTGAGCTACTCGCAGTCTCTCTTTGATCACTTTGACATTATCCGTAGTTTCTTGAATCATTTCCGGTCCGGAAAGAACTCGGGTACCCTCTATATCCCAGCATAGAGGTGTTCGACACTTCCTGCCATAAAGAGCCTCAAAAGGAGCAGCCTGAATACTACTGTGGTATGAGTTATTGTAAGCAAACTCTACCATCAGTAGTAAATCGGTCCAAGTTCCTTCCACTTCCATCATGCAAGTTCGTAAAATTTCCTCTAGAGTTAGGATCGTCCTTTCCGATTGACCGTCTGTTTGGGGATGATATGCAATTGAGAAGTTGAGTTTTGTCCCCATTGCTTCATACAAGCTCTTCCAGAAGTGGGAGGTGAAACTAGGGTCTCTATCTGACACAATGGATATAGTTACCCCATGTAACCGCACCACATGTGCTATGTAGAGTCTCGCTAGTTCCTCCATGCTTGGCTTAAATCGAATTGGGATGAAGTGACTGACTTTTGTCATCCGATCTAAAATTACCCAAACAGCATCTTTACCACTCCTGGTGGGTGGAAATCCAGTCACAAAGTCCATTGTTATCTTCTCAAACTTCCATTCAAGTAAGGGCAGTGGTTGCAGGAGTCCAGCCGGGGCACGATGTTCAGCCTTTGTCTTTTGGCATATAAGACATGATTGAACATACTCCGCAACTTCTCGTTTCATTCCTTGCCACCAAAACTGTGGTTTGATGGTATTATACATTTTTGTCGTCCCCGGGTGCATGGCATAAAGTGAGGAGTGTGCTTCCTCCAAGATATCTCTTTTTAACTCCTTCACTTTCGGTACCCACATTCGTCCATTCATCTTGAGTATGCCATCTTCCAACACATACCCATTTCCATTGCCTGCTTCGATATTCTCTCGTGCTTATATGCACTCTGGATCTTCTAATTGCCCCATCTTGATTCGTTCGTGCAACATCGGTCGAATACTTAGATGTGCAACCAGAGTGGTGATATCTTCAACTTGCATCTCCACACCTTGGGCCCTCATTTCCACCAGAGTTGGTAATCTTTCTCTTCGACTCAAAGCATCAGCAACAACATTCGCCTTACCAGGATGGTAATCGATGGTGCAGTCGTAGTCTTTGAGTAACTCTACCCATCGCCTTTGTCTACCATTCAACTCTTTTTGATCCATGAGATATTTTAGACTTTTGTGGTCGGTCATAATTTTGAAGGTCTCACCATAAAGATAATGCCTCCATAATTTCAACGCAAACACCACAGCTGCTAATTCCAGATCATGAGTTGGGTAGTTCACTTCATGTGGCCTCAATTGTCTCGAGGCATAGGAGATTACTTTTCCGTTTTGCATCAGAATGCAACCCAAGCCTTGATATGA